CTCTGTTTAAGTAGCTCCATAATATTGAAGTTTTATGGCATCCATAGATTTCAGCAGTCACTGTTGTATTTCCTTCTGTGTTCTTAACAAACTCTGTGGTTAAAAGCCAAAACCTGTGTGAGCTCACGTAACAAATCTGTTCAGTCAGAGCTGTCCTTTCAGATCTACATTTTGAGATTTTTTCAGGCTTGGACTCACTTAGTGTCATGATGCTTTTTAAATTTGGGGGTGATACTTTGCAGGTTTCTATAGCAATAACTTATTTAAAATAAAAGGAACTATTTGAAAATCTAAGGGGATTACCAGTGATGAGATATGTAAATAAAATGCTAGAGCAACAATTCCTGTGCTGATTTTGTAAAATCTGAGACACACTTACTATGACAAATGTGTTCCTGTGTTGCACAGGGAAAACAGTGGTTTCTCTATTTGGTAAATTTTATACGATATTGTACTTCAGCAAGTAAATCAGGTGCTCTTTTTAATTCTGCTAAAAAATGCCTGTTAAATATTTTATTTCCTGTGCTGTCAAGAAAGTAGCCAGAGACCATCTTAAACAGCTACCAGGAAATAAAGTCTTCTCTAGTGAAAGGCACAAACAGCTTAGATCTACCTCCGTGCCAGGAAACTTCAGAAGTTGTACCTAAATTGGAGAGCAAGACCAAGATTGTTATTTTAGGTTGTTGCATTCTGAAAAATTGAAGCAAGAGCTTCCCAGTCCTGGTAAGCGCCCTGAGCGTATTTATGACCCCTGACAAAACACAGCAATGTTTAAATACTCCTCAAGCTGCTAATATAAGTTCAGCACAAACTGCTTGTTGACGTTAACTCACTGAAATGAACGACTCAGTCCTGACTGCCGTTTTAACCATTCAAGTAATTTTTAAAACCATGATCCTGAACTCATCTTCCAAGTGAATCAAGTTTGCTCCGCAGCTGTTAACAGACCACCAGTTCATCCCTCCACTGAACTAAGTGTGCGTAAGAAAGATTAAACTGGCATAGATTAACCACAACACTTTTCAATTCCTCGGAATACAGACTTTCCATGCATCACCAGACAAGCCTGGTGTGATGTAAACAGAGTGTTTAGGCATTTGCTCTTTCTGATACAGGTTTTTTTTATATACACACTTTTCTTCTCAGATGATGCAAATTATCTCACTAACATCTGTCAAGCTCATCAAAGGGAATTATTAGATCATTTACTATACACCTAACTTACAAGTAAACACAGGACAGAACAGTCTTTCAAGATGTAAGAATATCAAATTCTAAAGTTACTTGTTCCAGTGGATTTTCTTCAGATCACATTGATAAGGATTTAAGAACATATTTACAAAGAAAATGCTACAGGCTGGATCCCACAGTATTTATTTAGAAAAAAATATAGTGGATACAAATTACTAATGCATATTTCAGGCATGCCAAACATGATATACTTAATAACAATATGTGTATTAGGTTATCAAGGACCAGTTGATGTCCTTGAAGAGCAAAGCTGACCTCTTGAAAAACAAGAATCTTCCCTTTAGCATCTACTAAAATATTGCATCACCTCAAAACCATAAATAATAATTCTTTCTAAATCGCAAGATGCTAAGAAAACAATTATCTTCTGAAGTCATCCCTATCTGCACAATTCACTCTTTACCTCAAATCACTCTGTCACCCTGAGAAGCAGGGCTGTGACTAAAGCAAGTAATGAGCAGCTGGTAAGTCTGTAAGCAAAGCAAAGCATTTTCCATGTAAGCATCCTTATAATGAAAAGTGTAAACACAGACATTACATTGGTCCTTACATTTTCACATTTGTCCTCAAGGTTTTTCGTGTGCATCAGTGGTCAGCAAAGATTTATCTGTACAGAAGAATAACAGCTTAAGTGAAGCTACGCTATTACTCCAGGTAAACAAAGCTAGTGGAAACGTGTATACATGCACGCTCACGCTCTCTGCAAACCTGGCTTATATTCATTTAGATGGCAACATCCTATCTTTAGACAAATAGGAGCAAACTCTGTATATACTAAGCCTAAACGGCTCGAAGAATCCTGCGAACCATCACAATGTAGATTTGCTTGTGTGCATCATTAGCACACCATTTTTGCTGTAAGGAGTTAACAGAAAATGTTACATGACAACATACAGTGTGCACAGTGTCTGCAAAAGACAAAACCACGACACTTAGTCCCCCTCTTAATCATTAAAGCCCTTTAATCATTAAAGCCCTTTGAGTCTTTCATAATACTGATAGCGGGGAAAAAAGTGCAGTAACAGTAGCCCAGTGTTTGTTGAACCACGGTATTTTGCTGACTGACATTTTGAAAAGTTGGGAATGCAGGATTGCTTCCTTCACTGTCGTATCCCCCTGCAGCCAGCTGTAGCAACGGTTACACTGGAAAGGTCTTGTCCTCCGTTCCTCCAGGCCCAGCAGGACAAGGCAAGCCAGAAGGTTGCACGTTACAGCTACCACAACGCAGCATCAGCACCTGGTCACAGACACTGTGTACGCCTGCGATCACGACACTGCTGCAGCCCACAAGCAGATGTGGTACACAGATAGTTCACCAAAGTCATAAGGAAGTCCAAAAATTAACTATTTATTTTTAAAAATTAGGAAATACTGTACTGTAAAAGCCTTCAGAAATCCTGAAAAAGGTACCAATACCATAGATGCTCTTTAACCACTGCCTTTATACACCTCAACTTCACAGTGAAAGCCCAAAACTAAGTACAACTGCTCATTTTTTTTACTTATTCATGTAACCACATCAATTGTTACAATGGCTCACAGGATATGAAAACAGCAACTAGGAGTTTTACTAATACTTTCTTCTTCAAACCAAACTTGAGCTACTGCCATGAACTTTGACATACTGAGTCATGCCAAAATAAACCCTCTGTTAGTTTAGTTCTGTTTTATCTAATGATCAGCTAATTCAAGGCAGCACCTTGGCTTCCAGACTGATCTTATTTAGAATCTCAGCTTTTCTCTTTCAGGTGCTTTCTACGAAACCAAGCTCATCTTTGTAGATATTCCTATAAAGTATAGTAACAGTATGTGACAAACCACCCTGTGATGTCAAATAGCATTAAGCCCCATGGAACCAGGACTCCAGGACTTCTGGAGAGTGCTTAAGCTGAAAGCAATTCCCATTCCAGTAATTCAATCTAGGCAGTTGGGTTTGTTTGGGGTTTTTGGGGTTTTGAGGTTTTTCTAAGATTTAGAATTCTGGTTTTATACCGAGTGCATCCAGTGAAAGCATGACTTTTTTTTCCATTTGGAACTACTGTGACAATCAGACTGAAACACAGAAAAATACAAGGTGACATGCACTTACCACCTGCACAAGGAACGAATGCCTCCTTTTGAGTAATATGCTTATGCAACCTTTTCTTACAGAACTTGGACTATAATTTTTTAATTACATATTTATGATCTTACTCATGTTGTGTCTGGAAAAATCACAAAAATTCCTCTGCCCTATGAGAAAAGACTGAACGAGTTAGGTCTTTTCACCCTGGATAAGAGGAGGCTCAAGGGGCACCTCATCACAGTTTTCCAGTACTAAGATGGGAAATGGGTACAAGTTGCACTAGGAGAAGTTTCATATTGATATGAGAAAGAAATTTTTCACAGTGGGAACACTCAATCACTGGGACAGCCTCTCCAGGGATGTGGTACAGTCCCCACCACTGGAGGTTTTTAAAATGTGACTGGGCAGGGTGATAGATAATCTCATCTAAGCTCCCATTCCCATGAAAAGTTGCTCCAGATGATGTTTTGAGGCCCCTTCCAACCTGGGCCTTAGTGTGAAATGTAGTTATACTTTATACCCTTGTCAGATATACTCTACAATTAGCAGAATAGGTTTGTCCACAACCACGTGATCTCCTAGGGCAACCTAGACTGCCAACATAGGTCTATTTAGGTTACACAATGAATACCTCCAATGCTATCACACTTTCCAGATTCCGGTATTCATCCTTCACTTTCCTTGATGACATGCCAAGCACTTTGGGAAGCTTCTTTCTTATACTAATTCATGCAAAGCAAGAATAGGATAGGATAGCATAGGATAGGATAGGATAGGATAGGATAGGATAGGATAGGATAGGATAGGATAGGATAGGATATCAAGGAAATTAATTTAAGATAAATATGAAACCAGAAGTAGAACAGGCAAGTCATGTGACCTCTAAGACAAAAGTCCCCCTTATATACTGAAAACTTAGAATACAAAAATAAATGTAAAAAAATTGTGAAGTCTGGTTCTTATTTAAGGAGATTGCTGCTACTACTAGCAAATTCTTCTACAGCATTAAAAAGGATTCTACAGTTGAAAGTTCAAATAGAAAAGATATAGGAAAGAGACTACAACACACTGGAGAAAGAGTCACATCTCAAAAGTTATTAAAAATGTTGAATGTAGGATACTGTTTTACACAGTAAAATAACTGTGAGGAAAACAAAAATGACGAGATTTTTTTACATAAATGCTGGCCCCACAATACATTAAAAATATTATACAAGATCACATACCACCAAACTGAATGGTTCAAGGATTAACAATACAAGTATACTTGCAGTGAAATCAACACTCATAAGTAATAAACACCATTACAACATCTTACTATGTTTCAGTGCCCTAAGTGAAGTGAGTTAAAGTTCAACTAATCACATACTGACCAAATGATCACATCATTCTTGCAACAAAACAAGAGCTATTAGTTTCAGAAAGGTCAGCCTCCATTATCTTCCTCCTTCAATGGAGAACACGTCAGACTTGCGAAGGAGACAGCACTGCCAAGGCAAGCTGACACTACTGCTGTCTCTGCTATATATATCCTGCAAAAAAGTATTCCAACCTTTTACAGTCTCAATTCACCACCTTTCACCACTACTAGAATCTCACACACGTTACTTACAAATACGGTTGAAAACCTGACAACCGAGTATCAAACTGTGGACGTTATGCTGTGGGCTGGACACAGACCAGATGAATCATGACTTCATTAGAACATGCAGCTTGTTAAGAAGGTATCACAACTGACAGAGTGGATGGCTGATCCGTCACTCAGAAAACCTTCATAAAGTGATTCTGAATTAAGGTTTCTATACGGGACATCAGCACATTCATGTCAGCAGCACAAACCTGGTGATCCTCATTCCCCTTCCTTTTCAGGGTCTCTAACAGGCCCCAGTGGACTGGAGGCAGAGGGCTGTAAGAACTCAGCAAGTGAAGCTGACTTAATGGACTCTGTTTTATTTCTGCAATCCTCAAGGCCCTCAAGATCGCAGGTGCAAACTTAGAATAATGAGCCGTAGATGAAATAATAATTGGGCAACTTCTATCTTGTAATCGATCTGCAACTACTTTAGCAACAGCTGTGTGTGTATCCAAAATATAGCCTGTAGTGCTGTACACCGAGTGAATGGCAGCTAGACAGTCCTCCTCAGAGCACCAGCCAGCCACCAAGCCCTGCTGAAGCTTTTCAAGCAGATCTTTCCGTAGCTGGAAGTGGCCCTGATTTTCCAGCTGGTTATATAATTGTGTCACCAGTTGTCCATCCCCATTAGCAATCAGGTGCAAGTACCGCTCAAGATTGGAGGACTTCAAAATATCTACTGCTGGTGAAAAAGTGGGAATTAATTTTCTTCCCCTCAAATCATAAACACCTGTTCTTATGAAGTCAGTCAAAACATTATTTTCATTGGAAGCACAAATACATTTTCTAATAGGAATTCCCATCATTTTAGCATACAAAGCAGCTAGTATGTTGCCAAAGTTTCCTGTAGGAATGCAAACATCCACAGGGCTTCCAAAAGGAATAATACCTTGATGAACAAGATCAAGGTACGCAGAGGCATGATAAACTATCTGAGGAAGCAGACGTGCCCAGTTTATGGAGTTAGCTGCAGCTAAAGCTGTTCCATATTCTACCGTAAGAAAGCCAGTGTAATCAGAATTAGTAAAGATTTGTTTTATAGCTGTCTGGCAAAAATCAAAATCAGATTTGACACCTACTGACCAGGCATTTTCTCTCTGACAGCCAATCATCTGTGATTTTTGAATTTGGCTTACTCCATCCTCAGGAAAAAAATTCATCACAGCAATTCTCTGTTTGTCAGTGTCATGGAGACGACTAAAGCCATCTAGGACCGCACTCCCCGTGTCACCAGAAGTCGCTACCAGAACCAAGTAATTGCAGCTTCTGGGAATGCAGTATGCAAATATATGTGGCACCATCTGTAATGCAAAATCTTTAAATGATGCTGTTGGTCCATGAAATAACTCAAGGAGAAACTGATTGCCTGCCAGATGCCTAACAGGGGCAATTTTAGAACAAGTAAAGTTTTCTCCATAAGCAGTTCCGATGATTTCTGCCAGCTTAGAAGCAGGAATATCAGCAGGATGTATGCATCTTTCCAGTATCACCTGGGCTCTTTCAATGTAAGTTGCTTCTATTAGGCTTTGCCATTCTCCAACAGCAAATTTTGGAAGTCCTCTCTCAGGAACAAAGAGTCCTCCATCGGCGGCTAAACCCTCAGTAACAACATCACTGAAATATTTACGAGAGCCTTTTTCCACAATCCTTTCAGACCTACTAGACCTAGTTGAAATGAACGTTTCCAGTTCCGAGTTTTGGTACCTCTTCACGGCATCAAGTACCTTTTCTGCTACCACCTCTGCCCCAATATCCTCTCCACAAAGAACACGGATGTCGTACCACCTTCTGTAGAACTGCTTCCTAAACTGAAGTATGTCCTTGAGAGAAACACCAGGAGACTGGCCCACGATGCGATCCACTTTCATTGATTTCAGCCTGTTCATTATGACTCTTGTGGGCACATCCAGATACACAACTATGCCATTTTTCTTCACATGCTGCATGCCAGCAGAATGCATTGGATTGGACCCAGTAAGGGAAATGACACTTCCAGATGCTGAAAACCTCAACAGGGCTTTTCCTTCCTCCTGTAAAAATTGCTCATTACCAACATCCTGCAGTTTTTCCGACACACTCATATTCCAGGTTGTTTCAAGGACATCGTCATCTACGTCTATGACAGGGCAATCTAGTTTCTGACCTACTATTCTCCCAACCGTTGTTTTCCCAGCACCCGGAGGTCCCATCAGGATAATATTTTTGTTTCCAACAAGGGAATGGCTTGTGAACCATGACTTCTGTATCTGTGCAAATGCAACAGGTCTTGAAAGCATGAGTTTTAAACACATGCTAGAAATATGGTTTTGAGTTATTAGTCTTAAAGACTGATGTTGAACAGCGTGAAACATCTTCTCCTGCTGGGTTGTTTTGGTTTTCTTTCACGCCAACTTGACAATCCACGTAACTGCTTCAAAAAGAGAAAGAAAACAACAGTAATTAGTCCTTCAGCAAACATCTAGGAAAAAAAACCCCTAAAGGATATGAAATTCAGAACAACAAGAATTCAAACACAGACCCAGTTATGACTTCATCAGTGCCAGGGATGTATTTTTCAGAATAAGACTCATTCCCTTCTCCTGCATAGCTCTATCTTGCTTCTGCTGACAAATCCAACTCCAAACTGTCCACATCCTTGGGGTAAACAACGGTATCCAAACCTAGCACTACAAGGCTATTTGCAAATACTATCATTTATAGGAATTCAAAACCATTTTATTTTTCCTCTAGTAGACTTACTTTTAAGTATACATTTACAAATAATGAAGATTAACTAAACTACCTTCTTGTAATCAAAATGTTAACAAAATATGCATTTTTCCCACCTCCCAAGATGCCTTTGATTTCTTCTATTTTCTTTCTAAAAAAAAAAAAAAAGTACAAGATGGACTTAAATACATAGAAAACTCACAGACTTGTGCAGCCGCAAGGTTCAAAGAGTTGCATCCAATTCTCATCTGAAGGGATGGCAAACCAAGCAAGAGATCAGTGAAGAACTCCTGTAACAGAATTGGATTAAGTGTCATTTGTGTAAAGAGAGAGAGAGAACTCTATCCTCAAAAGAAAAAAAAAAGAAAGGTAAGTAGGATCTCCGCAAAGGTTAAGCAAGTAACTCTCAACATGGTATTTTGTTTGCTTAGTATCAGCATGCATTGCAGCACGATTTGTGCCTGATATTTCGTGCAAAGTAGGAAGGCCTCAAACTATCTATAAAGTCAGGGCCAGGAGGGGAGGGGGCAAAAATCAGCACAAATTTGCACAGGAAAATCCCTACAGAATCATTTTTCATTTTAGGTAGGCAAATAAGTATCACTTTGGTTTTGTTATATATTCACTGTTCACAACTCAAAAAGCCTGAAGCAACACTTAACTTCATTTTAGGAAATTAATGATATTTTAGATGTAAAAATCCAACTTGGTGCTTACTCATCAATTCAAAAAATTATATATTTTAATGTATATATTTGTAATGTACATAAAATCAGCATTTTTTAAGAAATCATTACTTTTAATTGCTACCATAAGCAGTACAAAGAGACGGCTGACTAACCTGCAAGTTGTATTTTTTTTTCCTCCTGGCACTGTAACACAGAACCAAAATGGCAATCAGCAGCTTCTAGTAACTACGTTTTAAAGACTCAGTCTACCTGCTAGCACACCAACATTTGCTTTGCAATGTTTGGTTATTGGGGTTTTTTATAGTTTACACACCAGCTACTTTTACCAGTGAAAACAAGTTTAATGAGAGTTTCCTCACATTAGTGAAGACAGGCTAAATAAAACAATTAAAGGAATTCACTAAAGACTAAGTTTCCAAATCCATTCAGTGCCTTGTCTCTAGACACACTCTGGCTCAACAGCCTTTTATTACTGTGGAGAGCAGAAGAACATCTGGAATTGCAGTAGAAGGCAGGTGAGCATCAAATGGGAACTGCATCATCTTCTAAGGACCTACTTACGATAGCCCATATTTACAGTTATCACACCAATCCTGCAAGACCCCACTGTCCCTCATCAGTGTGCATAATATCAAATGACCACAGAAACCCACAGATCATGAACTTCAAAAATGACACAGCTCAGGTTTTTTTAAGAGGAAACCACCAAAATACCCTCTTCACTTCCAGATGCTCCTTGCTCTAGATTCTGCTTTGTATTCCCCTGTCTGTCTTTTACACTCCACTTTCTTTACCAAACTATTAGCACATTTTACAAAGTCAAGGTACTTCTAATAACCTTTGCACTTCCTCACTTCTGTATGGAGAGATGAGCTTGCAAACAGTTATGTCCCTGCATTTGCACTGATGAACACACTGCAATTTCAAGGCATGGATCAGAGTTATGATGGGCATATCAAACTGTACATTTTTTTCCCAATCCTTGTAAAGTAGAAGGCAGTGGTCATGTGTAGATGCAATACAAGGTTTTTGTAATGAATACCAACACACAGTGCTACAGGACCAGAAAGATATTTTTATTAAATGTCCAGATGTAATTATGTTCAGCACTTTAAAAAAATTTAGAGACAACATTTTAGTGATTTTACTTCCTAAACGTGAAAATTGCTTCAAGTGTTAGGTATGAGCTAAAGGGCGTACAAACCACACCGAGCACAGCAGCCTGCCTACCATGTCTACTGCACTACAGATTCACTTTGAGGTGCAGGCACTCGGTACACACCACACAGCTGCTGGACAGAACATCTGGATTGCTTTATGAATCTAGGCCATAGGGACTTAAATCCTTCCGAATTACAGGTGCACACAAGAAAGGAACTAGCCTCAGATTAGTTCGAAGCTTACCATCTTTATGTGAAGTTATAAGCAGTCTACGGTACTGTTTGAAATCAATTTGGTTAATCTGGTGCAAAATTTTACAGGGAATTTCTTTATTCAGCTGTTGAACTGGTTGAATCTATTCCAGTGTAATGCAGTTTTGTACCCATGTAAAGTACATTTACAGATGCTTGCGACCCATGAATTCAACTGTTTTTTTCTGAACCATTTTTTATTAAATTGGCAAAACCTTACTGTAAACCAGTTTTGATTAGGCTTTGTATCTCATGGAGTTTACTGATTCAGTTAGAACACCAAACCCTCCAACTTTAGATCTAGCCAATTCTCCCAAAAGAGTGGGTTTTTTTAATTGAAGCAGAGCTTACATCTGTACCCCAAATGAAATTTTAAGTTTTGACAGACACCCTGACCCTTCCCGTGGGCTGCTGGCAGCACCTACATCTCGTCAGCAAATAGCCACCATTTTAACAATCTCAGCTGAGGACAAGAGTTATCGTGGAAAAGGAACATTGTTACTGCTCTGGACACGAAGTTTGCAAGGCCGTAAGGTATGGTTTAAATTCAGTAACCACACAGGGCAGTGGCAGTTCGAGGCAAGTTAGGTCAAGACTGATAATTATCCTGTTTCGAAACCATTAACACAGGACACCTTCCACCTGACTTTTCTCACACCTTGTACGCAGGGGAAAAGAGAACAATCCCAGAGCAAACCATTCCACTTCAACCTTCTCGCCATTGTCCCAGACCACGACCCTGCGAAGGCTCCCGCCTCCCCGTCTCGACGCCCCGAGAGGTGCCCGAGCGCGGGTGGGGAGCGGGGGCCGGCCGGGCGGCGCC